CAGTCTGAGTTGGGCTTACTATTACCTGCACCATACAGAACGCTGATACCCCAAACCTCTTGACCCGGAAATACTTCTGACTTTGCTCTCCTGTATTGGTCACCTTTGTTAACTATGAGGATGGCGTCTAGGCTATTCCTGGCCAATATAGACTGAGTGTGCTTTACAGGCAGTTTCTCATTTAATCCTCACGACGCCCTTTGAGGCTGAGTCTCACCCTTACTTTACAGATGAGGAAACCGAAACTCAGGGAGCTTAAGTAACTGGCCCCAAACCAGGAAGCCAGATGAGATAGATCCTGGACAGGAACCCAGAAAGCCTGATTCCTGAGCTCATACTCTTAGCCACTACATGACTTCCCGTGCAATATTCTCATTCGGAATTTCTTCCTGGAATGTTATTCATGTCTGCTCTTCACGGAGCTCAGCGTCGGTCCTGATTGCTTGGTGTCGAGAGTGTTGAGAAGAATGTCGTCACTCGGGGACACTCACCGAGCAGTGCCATGCATTTTGTCCCCACAGCTCTGCGACGGCATTCACAACACCGTCCTTGTCTTTCTCCGGCCTCTTTCTGGGTGACGCACAAAGGAAACCAGCACAGCACAGCCTGTGTACTTTCTATGAAGGGACAGGCCACCCTCCATCAGTCAGCCCGGAAGCTCTGGCTTGTCTGCCTTTTCTCCAGGTGTCAGGTGGCTTCTCTTTTCTTTTTCTTATTGATGTCAGAGAGGAAGGAGAGGGAGAGAGAGAGAAACATCAATGGTGAGAGAGAATCATTGATCGGCTGCCTCCTGCACGCCTCCTCCTGAGGATCGAGCCTGCAACCCAGGCCTGTGCCCTTGACTGGAATCGAACCCAGGACCCTTGAGCCCACAGGCTGACACTGTATCCACTGAGCCACACGGGCCAGGGCGGCTTCTCTTTTCTGAAAGGCCTCAGAGGCCATCTTGAGGCAGCTCAGCACGAAGTCAATGTCCAGGGCTGGCTGCTCCTTTGGCTCAGCACCGGACGACCAAATCCCAACTGCAAGACTAATTCCTGGTCCCAATTAGGGTAGAAAACTAGCGTCTATGATGAGAGGCACTAAGATGGTGGCTGGCAATAGGACCACCAGATTTAGCAAATAAAAATACGAGATGCCCAGTTCAATTTGAATTTCGGAAAGAAACAGATAATTTTTAAAAACACATACTTTTTAATGATTTCAGAGAAGAAAGGAGAGGGAGAGGGTGATAGAAACATCAATGATGAGGGAGAATCATTGACTGCCTCCTTACACATCCCACACTGGGGATCTAGCCTGCAACTCGGGCATGTGCCCTGACTGGGAATCGGGCCGTGACCTCCTAGTTCATAGGTCGACACTCCACCACTGAGCCACTATGGCCGGGCCAGATCATTTCTAAGTGTAGTCCGCTTAAGTGCTCATTGGAGAGATACCACAGCTGATGGTGAACTGCGGTATTGGTGGCCAAAGTAGCAGAGCATTTGGGGGCGAGGAGAGAACAGTGCACTGAGTTAAGAACAGTTGAAAAGTGATCAGAAAATGGAGATTCTGCCCTGATTATCCCCCTTGGACCCGGCTGCTGAACACAGTAGCTTCAAGGGGCAGCAGTCAGGTAGCAAAGGCCAAGAGGAAATTTGGAAGTCTACGTTGGCCACACCTACATTATGCTCCGCACTGGGCCCCACCTTCTGGCCAGAGGAATTTTTTGTTTTACTGATACTCAGGATATGGATTTCCTTTGGGTATAATTCACCATTTTTTCTTTCATTCATTCAACACGGTTTTATTGAGCATCTACTATGAACTAGTCATTAAAATAGTTGCCATTGATACAATAGTAAACAAACACAGACACAATCCTTGCCCTCCAACAAAAATACTTTTATGTTCCTTTAAATTTTTTTCTTTTCTCCGTTGTAAAATTGCTCTCAACCAACAAATCAGATTTAAAACAAGCATTGCACGCTATTTGACTGTTGCAAGGGGAGGTATGGTGTCTTGTATCCCATTTCCAAAGTATTGCTTCAGTCATTCTCGTAGGGACAAGAGATCGCTGATCCTGTCAACCGATCTTAAAGCAGGTAAAAAACTGATACCACAGGTCCAGTTTCAGGGGCCGGCGGGAGCGTTTAGGAATGCTCCTAAGAGGGATTTGTCGCTACATGCTGCACAGGAGACACAGTCCTGTCCAGCGAGCTCGAATTACCTTTTTAGTTTTAAACTTAACAGTGTGTATTTGCCAAGTGTCAAGGTTCAGACTTGGTGGTTTTGAAGAAAAGAGGGAAAAAATTAAATGCCAGGAAATGAGGATGGTGGTTTCCAATCTGACTTTAAAGTTTGATAAACTATGCAGTGTGCAAAGGAGACTACATTGTTAAGATATAAATACTTATGAAACCTAACAAATAGATAAAAATATGTAAATAAGTACTTCAAAGTAACAAGAAAATGATAACTCAAGTAAAAATGGCTAAGGATAATTGATAGAATTCACAATAAAGACAACTGGCCAATAAACACATACAATGTTCAACATCACTAGGAATTGGCCAGTTGTGATTAAGACAGCCCAGCACAGTAATTAAGAACACTGATTGATTCTTGGGCCCAAGAATCTGAGTCTGAGTTTGAATTGTGGCTGGAAGGCTTTCTATCTCTATGACTCTAGGAAAATTATTTAACTTCTCACATCTCCATTTTCTCATTTATAAAAGTGGTATAACAATATTTACCACATAGAATTATTATAAAGATTTAATAGTAAATATTTAAAATTTTTAAAGTGCTTAGAATGATAACAAACACAGCACGTGTTATAAGTGTTGGTTGAGTAAATAAAATTTAAAAAGCCATTTCACCCATCAGAATGGTAAATACTAAAGGAACTGATCTCTTAAATGTTGGCAAGGTTTTGGAGAAACAGGCTCTCACAGACATTTGTAGCTGAAAATCAATTTAGTAATATGTTATTAAAATTAAAAATGCCTACATGTCCTTTTGGCACAGAAATTCTACCTAGAAAAATACACATACTTGTGTGTAATGAAGCTCAATTCCACTGCAGCATTGTTTGGAAGAGGAAAGAATGGAAGTTAACCTAAATGTGTAGCAATAAATGGTTGTACTAGAGGTTGCAAACTGATAGCCATTGGGCCAAATTCGTTTTGCAGGCGTGTTTTGCTTAGCCTCAACAGTGTTTTCCAAATTTGAATTAGTTTGCCTGGCCGGTGTGGCTCAGTTGTTGAGCATCGACCTGTGAACCAGGAGGTCACAGGTTCTATTCCTGGTCAGGGCACATGCCCAGGTCGTGGGCTCCATCCCCAGGAGGGGGCATGCAGGAGGCAGCCGATCCATGATTCTCTCTCATCATTGATGTTTCTCTCTCTCTCTCCTTCTCCCTTCCTCTCTAAAATCAATAAAAATATATTAAAAATATGTATTAAACTTTTTTTAATTAGTTGCCAACATTAAAATATTAGATTTACTAAAAAACCGGTATTTTAAAAAACTTACAGCTCTGGATTCAAGTTAACAATCCTTTGGTCAGTGTAAATAACTATTTCTGCTTAGAACAAAACACACCTGCTCCACTTCATCACTTTACTGATTTGTTACCTGTAGGCATCGGAGTTTGGGATTCTGGCTCAGCTAAGTAATGATCAGCTAATTAATGAATGCATCTAGTGATGTAAATACAATGCAGTAGATATATACCAGTATGTAGTGGTGTGGAAAGGTCACCAAGACATATTGTTGAGTGGAAAAGAAAACACGCCAGACGGAGAACTCTAACTTATAAGATGATGCCATTTCTGTAAACAGCAAATAATAATTAGTATATCAGGGGTGTTTCTGTTTTACTATGTTTCTAGTGCCTAGAATAGTGCCTGGCATATACTAGGAACTCAGTACATACTTGTTGAATAAATACACATGTATAATTGTGTGAGAATGTTGGAAGATACACACTAAATAAGTGATTCTGTCGAGGGACTGGAATTTGGGAGAGGTGGTGGTCAAGGGGTGATTGCTGTTTTTTGTTTTGTATAGTTTGACTCTTACAAACACATGTTTCATTACTTCCACCAATTAAAAAAAAAAAAAGAAAGGCAACCCAGCACAATGTAACATAGTGATCAAAACAAGATTTAATTAGTCTCCATTGAAACCATCCAGAAACGAATGAATGGGAATAAAAATAGAGTTCTGCAGTTATGAACAAGAAAAGCTAACTCAGAATACTTAACCTCCAACTCAGAACTAAGCAGCAGGGTGACTAATCAGACCACCCCGGCTGTGATGAGGCCCCATCCACAGCCAGTCCTCCCGCGGGACATAGTCTGCTCCCCACCCCCAACCCCCAATTCCGTGGCTATAAGCTCGTGAAGGCCTTGCACACAGTGTGTCAGAAGGTGCCCAGCTTGGTAAGTTTTTAAAAAAGAAATTAAAAAAAAAAAAGCTTTTCCTTTTTGGGGTAGGCAGCAAAGGCAGACAGGAAACGGTTTAAGGCCAGTGTTTGGAGATCAGACATTTCCCCTCAAAGGGAGGCTGTCCTGGCTCCGTTCGACCGGTGCCAGGAATAGACCGGCTCGGCGGGCGAGAGCCAAAGGGCACCCGGCAGGGGACGGCTTCTGGGCGCGGAGTGGAAGCAGCTCTTTTCACGGCTCACCCCGGGTTCAGCTCTCATTAGACGGCGTTTCTTCTCTCCTCCAGGCTCGTCGTCAAGCGCCTGGCACCGCTCCCGGGGCAGAACGTTCAGAGCTGTTCCGAGACGGCGGGAGCAGAGCTCCCCACGGTGTGGCCGGCACAGCGCAAGGCCGACTGTCCGGCCGAGGACACCGCGTTTGAACCCGAAGCGCGGGCCCTGGGGGCGGGGCCCTGGGAGGCGGGGCCCTGGAGGCGGGGCCCTGGGAGGCGGGGCCCTGGGAGGAGGGGCCCTGCTCGGCTCTGCGCAGGCGCCGGTGGCTCGGGCCGCTCCGCGCAGGCGCGGGTGGCTCGGGCCGCTCCGCCAGGCCCAGGCCGGCCTCTTTGTAAGATTCGTAGCAAACGCGCCCGGAAGTTCGACCTTCCAGCCATTAGACGCCACCGCAGTCCCGAGGCGCCCAGTAGGGCAGCAACGGACACCCTCGAAGAGGCGGCACACAAACCGCAGACTCCTCCCCGCCGGGGCCGCCCGCACTTCCGCCGGAAGTCGGTCTGCCCGCCAGCGTCGCGCGCTGACGTCACGGGTGCGACGGGATTTTTGGGGCGCGCCCTGGAGGCTCGGGTGCGGTGCAGCTGACGGTTGGCTGGTCGCCCTAGGAGGTAAGGCGTCCTCCGCTGGGCGCTGAGATGCCCCCGCCTAACCAGGGATGTCCGTCTGTCTGTGTGGCCGCCCTCCCCATCCTTCCCGTGTGTGTGGGGGGACGCAGCACACGTCCACCCCGCCCGGGGCCGGGCACCCACATCGTTCCCTTCTGCCCCCCCCACCCCGCCCCCCAGGACCCGGGGAAAGCTCCTGCGAGGCCCACCGGCCGCGACCCTAGCATAGAGGGGAGCTTCGGGGAGGCCCTTCTGTCGGGTCCCCAACGTGGGCGCCTCAGGGCTGGGTATCCAAGGCTCGCAGCGTCCTTCTTCCCAATTAGCTCTTCCTCCCGAAGTCTTCTAACCCCGTTCACCCTGCGGGGCCTCGACTTCCCCGACGTCCACACTCTTTTCCACAGCGCATGCCCCCGTGCCTCCTGTCCCTGCAGCCAGATCCCGCCTCCTGGAGGAACCATGTCTCCTGCAGCTCCGGGGGTCACCTGTAGTTCCAGGCTCCTGCCTCGGCGCCAGAGGAGATGCCGATGGAATTCCCTGTGAATGTTGGCAGGAGGAATGCCAGAGCTGCCTGCCGGAAATCATCCAGACAAGAAATATGTAGGCTGAAGACCCCGAGCCACCCGGTGAGGATTGCTGCTCTCTGCTCCCCTGTCCTAGCTCATGCATAGCTTCCAGTTGGTTGTCTCAATTGGAAGTCTGGCCCAGAATCGTATTATCAAAGGCCCAAAGTCACCACCTCCAGTTATTTAACACACGCCTGTCCTTGGAGCATCCCTTCCTAGGCAGGCAGCCGGGTCCCCGGGATGCTTGGTCCCATGGCATCAACAGATTCTGTTGGCTACGTTCTGTGTTCCTTGAATGTTTATATTTAAGGAAGCAAAATAATGGTTTGTTGCTGGGGGGAGGAAAGGTGCACGCATTCTGCCTGTTCTTCCCCACTTTCCTTTGGAATTTGCAGATAGGAGGTGCCCCAAAGCAGACCGCAGTGGTCTAAGGAGTTTTGAAGGAGAGAGAGCACCCAGGCCCCCTGGGTTGTCCGACTGAAGAGGCAGTGTGTGCTTTAAGGGCTGATGAATTTTGTCTTGGGAGCCATGTCGGGAGTTGATGTCTGAGAATATGAGCCATGGAATGAATCCCTCAGTGTCCTCACGCTCTTTCTGTTCCTTTGTAGCCCCAGGATGGACTTCCTGGTTCTCTTCTCGTTCTACTTGGCTTTGTTGCTGATTGGTGGTGCTCTGCTCTGCATCTGCTTGAAAACCCGTTACCTGAAAGGCCTGGTCAGAGGAGGCGCACAGGTAACAGTGACGCTGGGAGACCACTGGATCCGTCTAAACAGTTCACCAGTTTCCTGACAAAAGGAAAGATGCCATTTTTATTCGTTTGTTCACTTGTTCTTTCATTTATGGCAAAGTCTCCATATCTGGGTTTTTCCCCTCCTTATTGTTAAAAGTAATCTTGTATTGCTGCTTTGAGAGAAGGTAGCGTTCTTAAGGTTGCCTGTTTTTCTCTGGATCTGATGCCTGTAATTGGGCATGGATTTGAGCAGCGTCTGCCTGGAGGGGCCTGAGGGTGAAACGGGGGGATCTAGGAGCAGAAAGCTGAGCATGGGGCTGCCCACACTCCTTCCGGGATCTAAGTGAGCAAAATTAGGGTGAGCAACCCTTGGGAAGGGGTTGACTTGGAGGTGGAATTTGGAACGTAGGATTGAACCCAAGGCAGGGAAAGGAGTGGCGTTCCCAGCAGCATGACCTGATCCATCCACCCTTTGCTTGAAGACCCTGCCATGGTACCTTCTTTGAGGTGAGGGTGGAAATGGAGGACTTGGCTTCAAGGAAGGCCAGCTGGGGAAGCCATCCTCTTTATTCTCTCCTAAAGCTCTTCTCTGCCATATGCAGAAGCGCACTATCACCAGTATTGTCAGCTGAACGGCAGCATCTAATTGGGGGTTGGGAGAATGAAAAAAGAAATTGAATGTTTCTCTTTTCTTTGTTTTAGATATTTTCCTATATAGTTCCAGAATGGTTTCAGAGAGCCATGCTGAGATTGCTTCATTACCTCTTTCATACACGGTATTCTTTTCTGTTTTGATTACTTATTGCGGTCCCGTAGCTTCAGAAAGCGCCTGTGGTTTCCAGCATGCTCCGAGAGTCCTGGGTTCAGAACCTCTCCTCATAGATAATCTGCCGTTTCTCTCTGGGGTTGGCCATGTATACTTTTAAAGGGAAGTATTTAAAGGGTGGGAAAATATTGATATGCATTTCTGTAAAAAGAAATATATTCTGATACTGAGATCTCAATTCCCAAGATAGATGATCATAATAATAGATAACATTTGAGTACTGACCATGTACTAGGCACTATGCCAGATGTTTCACATGTAATTCTTTTTTTTTTTTTTAATATATTTTATTGATTTTTTACAGAGAGGAAGGGAGAGAGATAGAGAGTTAGAAACATCGATGAGAGAGAAACATCGATCAGCTGCCTCCTGCACATCTCCCACTGGGGATGTGCCCGCAACCCAGGTACATGCCCTTGACCGGAATCGAACCTGGGACCTTTCAGTCCGCATGCCGACGCTCTATCCACTGAGCCAAACCGGTTTTGGCTCACATGTAATTCTTACTAGCACCTCACATCCAAAGGAAGTAGTTGGTCCATGGTTATCTTTCGTTAGTACTGAATGATTTCTTCATGGAGAAGCCCCGGGAACAAGCCATGTGCCTACTTCCTTTCAGAAACCACACCTTCATCATCCTGCACCTCCTCTTGCAAGGAATGGTTTATACTGAATACACCTGGGAAATACTTGGCTACTGTCAAGAGCTGGACTTCTCCTTGTGTTACCTTCTTCTGCCCTATCTGCTGCTGGTTGTAAACCTGATTTTTTTCACCCTGAGTTGTGTAACTGACCCTGGTAAGTTGAGGTTCTTGGTATAGACAGCTCAACTGTCAGTCTTACTAACAGTGCTGCAAACAACTAGTGATCCCTAGAAGACCTTGAAAAGATTTGATATTTCGTGTCTTCATGATCTTTCCATTTTGAGTGTTTTCTAATTTTATTTTTTCCTTCTTTGACCCATGGGTTATTTAGAACAGGTAAAAATTTTCCATATGAATTCTTTAGTTTAAATTTTTGATACTTTCACTCAGTTGTGTTATATGGAGAGCTTATGGTCTGTAGGATACTATTTCTTTTGAAAATTTTATTGATCTTTGCATTATGCCTGGGCATGTGGTTTTTGTAAATGGTCTGTGTGTGATTAAAAAAGAATTTGTTCTTGGAGACAGAGAACTATATAAGTACACTAGAGGCCCAGTGCACAAAATTCGTGCACTTGGGGGGGGTGTCCCCCAGCCTGACCTGTGTCCTCTCACAGTGTTGATGCCCCAAAAAGATAGGCCCGCCCACCCATCTGGGGCTCCTCGATGGATTGCTCCAAAGAGGTAGGCGGGAGCCGGAGGTCCCGCCTCTGTGCCATGCATGCAGTGTCAAGACCCCGCCCACCCACGCACGCCTTGCCACGCACACAGTCCCGCACGCCCGCTGCACACGCAGCCTCCTGGTGATCACTGGTTTTGGCGTGAGGGCATCACGACCACATAGGCTTTTATTATATAGGATTATATCAAGTTTGTTAATTATGTTCAAATCTTTTATATTCATAATTGATCAATTACTGAGAGGTATGTTATTCTGATAATAGATTTGACAGATTTCTTCTTGTAAATTTTTGCTTAATATGTTTTGAAACTGGTGTGTGTATGTCTATTAGCTATACATGTATTCTTATTAGATGCATTCAAGTTTAGAATTAGTATTACCACTTCCTTGAATCAGCTTCTTTGATTGGTAATTGTTTTCAAGACTCTCTTGTTTGATATTAATGTTGTTATACTATCTGTTTTTTGATTGATATTTACTCCCTTCCCATTTTTTTTACTTTATACCTTTCCTGTCCTTGAAGCATTAAATGTCCATCAGCTGATGAACAGATAAAATGTGGTATGCCTGTTTACTGGGCTGTTCTTCAGCGATAAGAGGGGATGAAGTACTTGCACCTGCTGTAACATGGGGGCACCTTGAAAATACTATGTTAGTGAAAGAAGCCATATACAAAAGACCACATATTGCATGATGCTATATACAAAGTATCCAGAAAAGGCAAATCCATGGAGACAGATGTAGGGTTAGTGGTTGCCAGAAGTTCGGAGATTAGAGAGAAATGGGGCTAAAGGATTTCTTTTTGGAGGTGATGTAAATGTTCTAAAATTGTGGTGGTTGCACAACTCAGAATGTACTAAAAACTATTGAGTTGTACATTTTAAATGGGTGATTTGGGTTTTTTAATATCTCAGTAAAGCTGTTAAAATGATAAAATGAGTCATTGATTAAACACGGCAGTTTTCATTGTGCTGTGTCAGGGCAGGTTTTGTGACTGTTCAGTCCTGTATTGCTTGAAGCTGACTTCTGCCCTTACTTTTCAGGCACCATCACAAAAGCAAACGAATCATTGTTTCTCCAAGTTTATGAATTCGACGAGGTGATGTTCCCGAAGAACGGGCGGTGCTCTACTTGTGATCTAAGGAAGCCCGCACGGTCCAAGCACTGCAGTAAGTGTGGCTCTGGCTGCTCCAGCCCCACCCTCGCACAACAGGCACGGCTGCGCCTGTCAGGGAATATTACAGACGTGGGAAGCAGGGCCATTTGACTCCCAGACATGGGGCAGCCCCTGCTGGTAGGGGCCACATAGTGGTTTCTTTCAGATGCCTGGGGTGAGGTCTTGTATTCTTCTATACATGGTCCTGGGCATGGCAGCCTTCCTCTGCCCCGTGGACGCGCATGCTGCCCAAGAGAGGTTTCTGCAGGGTACTGTGCTTGCAGATTTCAGTCTTGGCAGAGCCTGTGTTTCAGGGGAGCTACCAACATTCTCGACTAGAGTTATCCAAAAAATACAATGTGAGCCACATATATGATTTCAAATTTTCTAGCAGCCACCTTACAAAAATAAAATATGGGTGAAATTTGGCCTGGCCCGTGTTCTCAGTGGTTAGAGCATTGGCCTGTACACCAAAAGGTCATGGGTTCAATTCCCAGTCAAGGGCACGTATCTGGGTTGCACATCGTTTCTTTCCCAGCTCAGTGGTTGAGTGTCAGCCTACAAACCAGGAGGTCACGCAGGGTTCAATTCCCTATCAGGGCACAAGCCTGAGTTGTGGGCTTGATCCCCAGTGGGAGGCCTGCAGGAGGCAGCCCATCAGTGATTCTCTCTCATCATTCATGTTCCTGTTTCTCTCACCCTCTCCCTTCCTCTCTGAAATCAATTTAAAAAAAATATTTTTTAAAAATCATTCATGGGATAGTTTATATTCTTTTTTATACTAAGTCTTTGAATCTGATGTATATTTTATGTTTACAGCACCTCTCATCCAGACCCTAAATTTTCATTGGAAATACTGGATCTGTATTTAGATTTCATACAATTTATAGTTGGAATAGATTCACTTACCCAAGCTATTCCAAACATTTTTATAAGCTTTTCAGTAACTGAATTTTATAAGTTTTTCAGTTCCAAAAAGTCATTTCCTTTAATATCCACATCTACATTAATATACTGGTTCATCTTTGTCAGAAGAATCGATTTGACTTTAAAGCAAAGGCATTAGTTTTGAAACTGACTAAGTTAAGTAAATTCACTAACTCTTGCATCATCTCCGTATTATTCACAAATAGTTCACAAATTGGAAAACATCTGTACATTCATTGATATGTCAACCACTATTTTTTCAAGTGTTTCTCATAGCCACATACCTAGTTCTCAGTACCCACCTGTGCCTAGGTTAGTGGCTGCTGTACTGGACACTGCAGTCCTGAAAGCTTAGTGACAGCAGCTGCCATTCGCCCAGCTCAGACCGCCAGTTTGTAGAAATGTCAGTGGGTGTGCACGGTGTCATTGTCTCATCAAGAACCACCGGTGTCTGTGCAGGTGTGTGTAACCGCTGTGTGCACCGTTTCGACCATCACTGTGTGTGGGTGAACAACTGCATTGGGGCCTGGAACGCCAGGTACTTCCTTACCTACCTCCTGACACTGACGGCGTCGGCTGCCACCATGGCCATCGTGACCACTGTGTTTCTGGTCCGGTTGGTGGTGTTGTCGGACTTGCACCTGGAGACTTATGTTGATGACCTTGGACAGTCCCAGGTTATTGACACCGTCTTTCTTATTCAGGTAATTTTGTTGTGGGCTGTATATTTCTGACTTCCAGTTTCAAATTAGAAAAAGGACATTTGGCCCTAACCGGTTTGGCTCAGTGGATAGAGCGTCGGCCTGCGGACTCAAGGGTCCCGGGTTCGATTCCGGTCAAGGGCATGTACCTTGGTTGCGGGCACATACCCAGTGGGGAGTGTGCAGGAGGCAGCTGATCGATGTTTCTCTCTCATGGATGTTTCTAACTCTCTATCCCTCTCCCTTCCTCTCTGTAAAAATCAATAAAATATGACTTCCAGTTTCAAATTAGAAAAAGGACATTTGTTTTCCCAGTAAAAACATGAAGCCATTCCTTTTTTTAAAAAATTGATATATAATCTTTTTAAATTGGTAAATAATTCACATACCACAAAATTTACCCTTTCAAAATATACAATTCAGTGATGTTAGTATGTGCAGGGTTGTGTAACCATCACTACTGATTTCAGAATATTGCATCACGCCAAAAAGTATTTCCTCACCCTGTGTCTATTTGCAGTCACTCCCCATTCCATTATCCCCCGAGCCATGGCCCCCACTAATCGACTTTCTGTCCCTATAGATGTACCTATTCTGGCCATTTCCTATCAGTGGAGTTACACAATATGTGGCCTTTCGGATTGGCTTCTTTCACAGAGCATAACTTTTTCAAGGCACATCCATGTTATAGCATGAACCAGCACTTCATTTCTTGTTATGGCTGAAACATGTTCCATTGTGTGGAATTGCCGCAGTTTGTTCCATTCATCAGTTGATGGACACTTGGGCGTTGTCACTTGGTTATTTTTGAATAATGCTGCTGTGGACATTTGTGTGCCAGTTTTTGAGCTAGATACTGAGAGTGGGGTTGCTGGGTCAAATGGAAACTTCGTAACTGCCAGACTGGTTCCCGAGCAGCTGCATTTTCCGTTCCCGCCACCAGCGTGCAGAGGCTCGTTTCTCCACGTCCCGCCAACACTTGTTATTTTTTATTATAGTCATCCCAGCGCTTTTACCTCCTTGGACCAGAATCCACATTCTTTTTTTTTTTATGAGGTATTGGAGGAAAGCTGCTACTTTCCAGCCTCTCTCCATCTTTTTTTTTTTTTTTAATCCTCACAGGATATTTTTCCATTGATTTTTAGACAGAGTGGAAGAGAGAAGGAAAGACAGAGAGAAATATCGATGTGAGAGAAACACACATCGATTGGTTGCCTCCTGCAAGAGCCCAACCAAGGCTTGGGCTTAGGGAGGAGCCTGCAACCGAGGTACGTGCCCATGACCAAAAACGAACACGGGACCCTTCAGACCGTTCGCAGGCCGATGCTCTATCCACTGAGCCAAACCATCTAAGGCTTTTTTTTTTCTTCTTAAATTATATTTTTATTGATTTCAGAGAGAAGAGAAACATCAATGATAGAGAATCATTGATCGGCTGCCTCCTGCACTCCCCACACTGGGGATCGAGCCTGCAAACCGGGCATGTGCCCTGAGCAGGAATGGAACCATGACCTCCTGGTTCATAGGTTGATGGTTAACCACTGAGCCCCGCTGGCCGGGCCAGAACCCACTTTATAGTCACACATCACATTTGAGTGTGTCTTTTCAGTCTGAAGCAGCGCCCGCTTTTTTGTGTGAAATGGGCATTCAGTAGTCTGGTTGCCCATTAGAATGTTCCACGTTCTAGATTTGTCTGTTTCTGAATTGTGTCATCTAATCTTTCCCTATTTCCTAATGGGAGTATAAACTGGAAGTTAGTTCTAGAGCCTTGATCAGGTGAAGGTTAAATTTTTCTTTGCAAAAGTGCTTGCTAAGTGGAGACATGAGTTTCCTCTCGATCCCACCAGGCAGAGCCTAGGGCCAGGGAAGCCTGGGTTGGCCAGTCGGGTGGCCACCAGCTGTCCCTGCTGGCGAGGTGCATTTGCCCCTCGGCAATGGCAGTCTGTGTGTCTGGTTTCAGTTTTGTATTGAGGACTTTCTTTAGGCTAGAATCCAAAAAACGTGAATGCTGGGCCAAAGATTACCAGCACTTATACTGTAAGTTTTCTAATATTAACATCTATTGTCAGATTGCTTTTAAAAGCTTGATTGTAGCCCTAACCGGTTTGGCTCAGTGGATAGAGCGTCGGCCTGCGGACTGAAGGGTCCCAGGTTCAATTCCGGTCAGGGACATGTACCTTGGTTGCGGGCACATCCCCAGTGGGGGGTGTGCAGGAGGCACCTGATCGATGTTTCTTTCTCATTGATGTTTCTAACTCTCTATCCCTCTCCCTCCTCTCTGTAAAAAATCAATAAAATATATAAAAAATAAATAAATAAATAAATAAATAAATGAAAGCTTGATTGTAGAGCACCAAGTAAGTGATGGTATCACAGCTCAGAGCAGGCATTGCGCTGCTGGCTGGGAGGCGCCTCTGGTTTGATAGGAAAATATGGTGTGCCTTTAAAAAAGTTGTATTTCTTTCATTACTTTTTAAAAAATATATATTTTATTGATTTTTTAGGAAGGGGGAGAGAGATGGACAGACAGACAGAAACATCAAGAGAGGAAGGGAGAGGGATAGAGAGTTAGAAACATCGATCAGCTGCCTCCTGCACACTCCCTACTGGGGATGTGCCCGCAACCAAGGTACATGCCCTTGACTGGAATCGAACCTGGGACCTTTGAGTCCACAGGCCGACGCTCTATCCACTGAGCCAAACCGGTTAGGGCTCTTTCATTACTTTTGATTACTTCCTTTGTCATTCTCTTGTATATCTTCTTTTGTGAATGATGTTCTTTAACTGTTTGTCCTGTTTAATATTAGGACCAACTTTTGATTTGAGGTCTTTACATAGTAACAATAGTTTCTTCTTCTTATGTTTATTTTCTATTTGTGTGTTTTTTTTATATAAAAAGTTTAAATATTCTTCATCTTCAAATTTGTTTTTTTCTTTGTAACTTCAGTTAGAAATTCTCTCCTATCAAGAGTTTTGATAATTGTTTGCTTCTCTTTTCCCCTAACTTTCAAAAATATTGAACTCTCAAATTTTTTTATTATAAAAAATAACAAAAATTCAAGCAGTCAGAGGTGTTTAAAATAAAGGGCAGGGGGTGGGAATAAGTCAAGGTGGACATAGGGTACAAACTTCAGCCCACAGATGAACAAGTCCTGGGGATGTCTGTACAGCATGGCGACTAGTTAACAGGAGTGTATTGTATATTTGAAAGGTGCTAAGAGACTAGCTCTTAAGAGTTCTCACCACAAAGAAAAATTGTAACTGTGAGGTGCTGGATATGTTAACTAACCTTACTGTGGTAATCATTTCAATATATATATACATATATAAAATCGTTACATTTTGCATTGCTGTTGTGCACCTTAAACTTTCACAATGTTACACATCAATTATATCTTAAAGCTGGGTGGGGAAGGAAAGAAAATTTAAAACATCTTGAAAAAAAATGAAATGAAAACATACCCCTCCCCTCCCAACACTTTCACTCCCCAGAGGCAACTTCTTTTGTAGTTTGGTGCGTATATTTCAGGCTTTTTTCCGACGTTTGTTTATATTGCCATACATGTCCACAGAGTCATTGTTGTGTTTGCACAAACAGGGACCCATTGTGATCCTTGCATCTTGTCTTTCTCCCTGGGCAGTGTATTACCAACATCTTTTTTAATTTTGTTGGCCTTTGTGATGCCATGGTTTGACTGTCCCAGAGTTTTACTCTTCCTCGGGGGTGCACCTTTCATTTGTGTGCTTTGGGAAGAGGGACTGTTACATTCAGTGCCACTGCAGTGAGCACCCTGGCACTGTATCTCTGGCCGTTTCGTTTTGAGAGAGAGATTGATCTCTTCTGGATTTTATTTTGATGCATGAACTAAGAGGTACATGTATTTCTTTGTGTTTTTTGTAAGTAGGTAAGTGGCACAGCACCATCTCCTGGGTATCCGTTCCCTTTTCCTCCAGTGTACACACTTGGTTTATCCCATGCTGAACTCTTGTATGTACGAGGATGTCTTCCTGGGCTGTTGGTCAGTGCTGTGTATGGTTCTGATTTGTGTTCAGTGGGTAGATGTGCAGGGAGGTGGGTGAGTGGGGGTGGCAGCTCCGACAGTCTCACGGACCAGACCAGGGCTGGCGGTGCTGACCCTCACTGCGTCAGCCCCGGGGCCTAATGTGCTGCTTCTTTGCCCCCAGTACCTGTTCCTGACCTTCCCAAGGATCGTCTTCTTGCTGGGCTTTGTCTTGGTGCTGAGCTTCCTCCTGGGCGGCTTCCTGTGCTTTGCTCTGTACCTGGCCGCCACCAACCAGACTACGAACGAATGGTGCAGAGGTGACCGGGCCTGGTGCCAGCATTGCCCCCAAGGCGCCGGGGCCCCCTCCGTAGAGCCCCGTGTCCACCGGAACATCCACTCCCACGGGCTTTGGAGCAACCTCCGAGAGATCTTTCTACCTGCTGCTGCACATTATGAGAGAAAGAAGAAATGAGAATGGAAGAGTGTTACTGCCTTTTAAATACAGTTCATTTTAAATATAGTTCGTTTATTTATGCATATAGATACTTACTTTCTAAGCATGTTTTTTTTCCTTCTGTTCTGTATAAATCGCCTTTCAGTGGTTAAGGACGGGAAGAGAAAAGTAGGGTTTACTGAGTGCCCAATGGAAATCCTCCGTGGTCATCCTCTTCTTGCTCAGCCTGTCGGAACGGAGCTTCTCTGGAGTCCTGGTGACCTTGGTCTCCCAATGGACTTGGCTCCTGGACAGGAGGGGCCCCGTGGCTGTGTCCCCTGGTGTGCGGGAGGGTCTCCGCAACTTGGATGTCCTCATCTCTCCCAGGGAAAGACGACTTTTTTTCTCCATTTCCTTAACCATGCCAGCACCCTCACCCAGGCCTGTTGAGCTTGTGGCCTCCTGCCGGCCCCCCGCTGACCTCTTGTGGCCATATCAAGTATTTTCTGTCATTTAAAAAATTTTTTTATTGATTGGTTTTAGGAAGGGGGAGAGAGAGGGACAGACAGAAACATCAAGTTGTGGTCCCGACTAAGCATTCATTGGTTGCTTCTTCTATGTGCCCTGACCCGGAATCAAACCTGAAACTTCGGGTTATTGGGATGATGTTCTAACTGACCAGTGCCTGCCCTATTTTTCAATTCCTAACTAAGCACAAGTAATTCAGTGCAGAGGTGAGTGCTGGAAAAAAGACTCATCGGAAGTGCCCAGGGCTGTTGGGACGGGAGCGCCGTTAGGAGCAGGGTACCTAGATCCCCTCCCCGGCCACTGAAGGGGTGGGGCGTAGGAACTCGGGCAGGAACTGGTCGGGAGGCATCGTTGGACCGCGTGGCCCCTGGGGTTCAGAGCTGATCAATCTTTAAAGTGAATCGCTGAGGCTGAGCCCGGGCCCTGCGCTGCCCCCTATGCTGCTTGGGGAACGGACGGTGAAATCAAACGTGGAGGTGATGAGTACAACCTGATGTGCCAGAGTGAGAAAACAGACTACAATCTGAAAAGGAATACAAATATCTGCCTGCTCTTGTTCTTGAAACATACATCTTCCTTAGAGATCTTGAAAGGATGGGTTTAGGCCAGTGGTGGCAAACTCATTAGTCAACAGAGCCAAATATCAACAGTACAACGATTGAAATTCTTTTGAGAGCCAAAATTTTAAACTTAAACTATATAGGTAGGTACATTGTTATTAACTTAATTAGGGTACTCCTAAGCTGGCTTTGTAAAACGTCCTCATTCTGATGAGGACGTTC